ATATAAAGGTATACAGCAACAGCTGGAAGGTTAACTATTGTTCCATGAAGGGTAGTCGCGATTGAATAACTTCTTAGGCCTGGTTCAGACTAGGTTGATAAACCCGGCTCAACTCACGTGTTTATCCACCTGCTAGTCTAGGTGGCTTATCTCAAGCCGGGCTGTGTTCCTATAGTAACTAGGCCTGGCGCGCCACCGTGTTTAACTTTTCTAAGCTGGGCTTTAATCGTTGCGGGGATCTTGCATTGACTTTGGGTGACTAAATGACCAATCAGCATTCAATTACGTAAATGCGAGCGAGCGTACGTTTCGCGAGCAATGTTTTGAAACTCGTTTCCTTGGTTACGGTTCATTATTATGCAAATTCTCGCCTGGCTAAACCCGCTAGTCTGAACGCCCGGCAAAGTTAAGCCGGGCTTAACGTTGAGCCGGGCTTAAATCAAGCCTGGCTTATCTCCAAGTCTGAACGTAGCCTTAGTGTGTAATGAATGCCAATCGTTTTCGACTTTCGGGACCCAACTGAATTTGGTTGTAAGCATCTGATAAATCAATTTTAGTAAATCCATGACCTCTAGACAGCGTTAAGACTTAGCGTTGGAAATAAAATTTTGATGCATATAATTAAAAAACGAAATTTCCTATAAAAAAAAAAGTGTGTCATGTTTCAAATACAAAACATTTAAAACAATATCCAGAGTGTATTCAATAATTTAACCACAAATTGTCCACTTGTCACTGCCTCAATTTCTAGGCTAAGAAAATATAAATAATCCTCTTTGCATTAACATCACTTCTGTTTATCACAGTTATGTGTTTGTAGCTAAAAAACAAACGCACTATACATCCAGTCTTTCTAAGTTGTTAAATTCTTTAGGTCTCAATTATCATTTCTTTGCCGATGATATCCAGCTCTGGAAAGAAGTCGATCTTGACAATCCCGCTGACATTGCTTCTACTATTTCCATATTTGAATCATGTTTCTCATCTATTACAAATTGGTCTTCAATGATGAAACTTAAATTAAACCCTAGTAAAACTGAACTTCTTGTTATTTCTTCCAAATATCGTACTCGCACTGTTCCTGAAATTAACATAAATTGTAATGGTATTAACATATATCCTTCTACTTCGGTTCGGAACTTAGGGGTCATATTTGACAAACATCTTGACTTTAGCATCCATATATCATCTGTATGCCGATCGGGTTACTTTCATCTTCGCCGTATCCGTTCCATTAGACCTTATATTTCATCTTCTGCTGCTGCTTCTCTTGTTCATGCTTTTATTTCATCCAAACTTGACTTTTGCAATGCATTGCTCAATGGTTTACCTGCTAGTAGCATTAGACACCTTCAGAAACTCCAGAACTTTGCTGCTCGTGTTGTAACATTGTCTAAAAGGTTCACCCACATTACGCCAATTTTAAACATTCTTCACTGGCTTCCAGTTGATAAGTGAATCATTTTTAAAATTCTTCTTCTCACCCAAAAATCTATCCATGGTCGTGCCCCAATTTATCTCTGTTCGCTTATAGACAAACAGGTTTCTTCCCGTTTTACTCGTTCTTCTCAAACCCTCAAACTT